ACTTTGAATGCTTTTCATTGTTCAATACAGACATCCATGGGTGATCAGACAGCCATGATAAAGGATATGGACATGTCCGAAGAGGTGCAGCAAGATGCTGTGGAGTGTGCCATTTTGGCAATAGAGAAATATAATGTTGAAAGAGAAATTGCAGCCCTTATAAAGAGGGTAAATGTTTGTGTGGTATGTCCCTTTGTTGAACACTCTACTCCAGAAGTTGAGCAGGGTAGGTGTTGCTACACTGGTTGGAAAAGCAAGTCCTGTGGACACACAATACATTGGACTTTTCCTTTGGGCTGATGTCCCTGTGTTGCTTTTCCCATGCCTCACGTGTACCTTTCCTAGTTTTTGTTTTACGGTACCTTCTATTTTTGTGTTTTCACTATCTCATTGTCTAGTGGAATAGGAGATGCTGATGGAAGATAGAGCCCTTTAAAGCCTGCCATAACTTTCCTCAGAGGGAATGCCTGTTTTTTACCTAGTCCTTGACTTAAATTGAGTTTAAATTTCTCTTAAGGTTCTGTTCATAGTTCTGTAACAGTTGTGCAAGATTGGCTAGCTGGTTCAAAATCTGCAGGGAAAAGTAATTTTCTGCACAACTTCTGTATTCTCATCTTCCTTTTATGTGCTGGACCATGCTAAAATCCGAAGTCTTGGAGTACTGTTTATCTGGTGTCCACAGAACACCTGCATGAAGGATAATAATGGATTCGCAAAAGATTTAGTTCTGATTCACTTTCTGCTTTGCCATCTTAGGAGAATAAAGAAATCCAAGGGTGCCAGTGAAGGGTTTAATATTACATGAATCTGAGTGGAAGACCTATTGAAAAAGTCATTCAACTAAATGGTACAATGGCTTCTGTTGGGGAGGTCTTCCTTTCCTGTCACCCTGACAGACGTATAAGCAGGTTTATTTTTTCCACTTGTAAGAACGACATTCTGTGTTAGCAAAGAGCAGAGGATTGGATTTTTCTTGAGGCTCCTGGTTGGAACCTGAGAAATTGTGGTGAGATATAATTTATCCGGGGTCATAATAACTGATCAGAAATGCTTGCATGCTCTCTCAGGAAAGTTTTTTCATTTGAGAGCTATTGGATATGACAGTATTTAATGACTGACTAGAATGTTTTGCTTTTAGTAGAGCTGTATATCTTGGCTTTTGAAACATGTGGTAGGCTTCTGAGTATGATGGGAGAACATGATCACATGAACTGATATTTCAATGGCATAGTTTGAGAACATGATATCATTGGGGCAGGGGGGGAATTGCAGTCCCTGGGCTTATTCCTGCTTAGCTACAAAGTGCTGTGGGCTTTTTTTCTTTTTTTTCTTTTTTTTTTCTTTTTTTGTCTAGGCAGCAGGTGAGGTGTAAGAGGTAAGTAACACAATCCTTATATGTAAAGGCATATGCTGCTGCTTAGCTGCTTTTTCAAAAAAGTGATGCTTGTTAAGAAGAGACACATTAATGACAGAAAATCTGTAGTCAGCTTTTGGGTGAGAACTGTGCTGAGTTCCTAGTGATCTCTTCTGCAGGAGTTTGAGAAGAAATACAGTCCCACTTGGCGCTGCAGTGTAGGAAGGAAATTTGGCAGCTGTGTGTCTCATGAGACCAAGCACGTCACCTTCTTCCCCATGCGTGGAGTAAATATGTTTCTGTTTAGAGCTGGTTAGAGCTGTGGGTCGTTGTTCAGAGTTGCATGAGCTGTACTGTACACTAACAGCAGCAGCTCAGTGCCTTCGGCCTTCCTGAAGAAGCAAACCTTGGTCTTCAGGGGTAACATCAGGGATTTTTCTGGAGTGCTTGGTGGTTTTGTTGGGTTGGGGGGGGGGGGG